AACAACAACAACAACAAAATCCTGTTTCATTGTAAGCAAATCATGGTTAAAAGCATTTTAAAATTAGCAGGGTGTTAATTTTTGCATATGACATACGGATTGGGAATGTGGCCGTGAAACCCCAAGTCCCATAAATCGAGGTCCGCAAAATCCAGGGTTTCTGTGCTGCCCCGTGGGAGTGGCTCGGTGGGTGGAGCATCCGGTGATTCCCCAGCAGGGCACGTGCGTGCGTGGGCTGTGGGCTCCATCCCCAGTGTGGGGCGTGCGAGAGGCCGTTGATCAATGATTCTCTCTCATTGATGTTTCTATCTCTCTCTCCCTTTCCCTTCCTCTCTGAAATCAGTAAAAACATACATTAAAAAAGAGAGAGAGAGAGAAAGAGAGAACCCAGGTGGCAGGTGGTGGCACAGACACCCCACCCCTGGGAGAGGGAGGGCCTGAGGCCAGCAGGGCTGTTTGCCCACAGCCCCCAGTGCTCCCCACGGAGAGGTAGGCATTTCTTTGCAGAGCGCTAAGTCCTTTGACCAAAACGGAACCAGAGCTGGGTGCGCGTCCCTCGGTGTGTACCCTGTTTCCCCGAAAAGAAGACAGTGTCTTATATTAATTTTTGCTCCCAAAGTCGCGCTAGGTCTTATTTTCAGGGGCTGTCTTATTTTTCCACGAAGAAGAATACGGTACACATTTATTGTTAAATGAAAATAAAGGAAATTTATTACCAGTATACGGTATGCTAGTACGGTAGTTGTCAACACAAACCAGACAAACTGTGAATCCTACAGTATCAAGAATTTGCTCATTTATTCAATGACAATCATGTCATCATCTTCTGGAACATCCTCATAACAATCCGATTCCTGAATTTCCTGGTGAATTTCTTGTGACTCCATTTCTTTCAGAATCGGTGGACCAAATCTCTCATGTTTAGCAATAGCATTCTGAGACAGAGCCTGGGGGGCCTTATTTTTCGGGGGGATGCCTTATATTTCACTCGGAAGGAAACCTATAAATAGGTCTTATTTTTGGAGGATGTCTTATTTTTGAGGAAGTGGAGGGCAGAGCGGGCAATGACCGTCTGGTCTGGCTGTCCTTCCTCCCGTCCACCTCGGAGAGGGAGCAGCGGCAGGACCCAGCTCTGCGGCATCCCCGGACCCCCGTGCAAAGGCTCTGAAGGGTTCCCACTTGGGAGACACCCCTTCCTTTCTTCAGTGGCCTCAGCTGGGGACCCTCAGTGTCTGCCTTCCCAGAGCTGTGCCCTCCTCTGGCCTGGACCCCATTCTGGGCTACCCTTTCCCCCTTGGACCCTCCCCCAACCCTCCCCCGCCCCCATCCTGCAGGAGTTCTCTCCTCTCCCCTGCTGGGCTCCTTCTCTGGCCAGACCAGCGGAGTGTTGCCACTTCCTCCTTCTGCCCTGAATACCACCTCCCCAGTTAGAGGGCCACATCCAGAGGCCTGTCTGGGGCTCTCGCTAGTCCACCACGGAACCCCCATGGGGTCCCCGCCAAGGAAGTACCCTCATCACTTGGTGGGAGGGGCTGGTCCAGCAGACCGGCTTCTTGGGCTCCCGAGAGGTGGGCTCACCATGTGGGATTCCTCTCAGGCCTCCGTTGACCCATCTATGAAATGGGAGGGTGAGTATCCTGGCAGGGGGGAGGCTGAACAAAGATAGGAGTAAATATTATAAATATATAAATGTTATAAATACAGTACATTCCTGATTCACCTGAATGTCAGGCTGCAGAGGGATGGCATAAGCCTTACTCCCCCTTCTCCCTCCTCCAGAGTCCTGTATCCCAGGTTCTGTGGCCTCGTGGGTAGCTTGTTTGCCAAAGTGGATGGGTGATCAACCATCGGATGAGCCCACACACCAGGCTGGGTGGGACCATGCCCAGAGCCACCTCTGCCAGAGCGGGCCCCGTGCCACCGGAGAGCGGAGAGTGCCAATATGCTTTGAACCGCCTCCTGCCCCCCTCACGCCGCCACCGCCACCGCCGCCCTCACCATCGATCTCTGCTCCTGGCCATCCCCTCCTTGCTGCCCTTCCGAGGCTGCTAGAACATTCTTCCCGCAAACCTTCCTTTCCCCACTCGGTGGTAAAAATGGTGATAAGGACTCGCTGTGAGTCAGAGCCTTTTCTTAGGTTATCACTTTAACTCTTAAAAACAGGCCCCCAGATGGAATTCACCAACATGACTCACCGAGGCTCTGGGCCCGCTCCTGGCTCCTGAGGGGCAATTGTCACAGCCAGTGCTGGGACTGACCGCCCCAGGCTGCTTGCCAGCCACGGTCTGGTCCAGCCGCCCAGCCTCTGCCTACCCAGCTCGTTAGAGGCGGGTGCAGCTCAGCCCCTCGCTACCCCGTCCTCTCCCATCACTTACCCATGATATGGCTCTAAAGCTAGGGCTGCCGGAGCAAACACAGGACACCAGCTCAATTTGAATTTCAGATGAGCAATGGGTAATTTTTTTCTGTTAGTAGGTCGCAAAAATTGCATGGGAAATATTTATACTAAAAAAAAAAAAAAAGCATTGCTTATTTGAAATTCAAATGGAACGGGGGTCTGCCATATTTGCTAAATTTGACAACAATACTTAGGGCTGGGGTGGGAGACGCAGCTAGGGGCCAAGGCCAACTTCCCAAGAGGAGCGGAGGCCTCGCAGTGACTCCCCCACTAACTGGTCAACCCACCCATCTCAGCTTCCAGGGGTGGTGCGAGCAACCAGAGGCTTAAGGGAAGCAACCCAACTTGCTTTATCTAATTGATGGATGAGTGGGTAAAGAAGTGCCCTAACTGGTTTGGCTCAGGGGATAGAGCGTTGGCCTGTGGACTAAAGGATCCCAGGTTCGATTCTGGTCAAGGACATGTACCTTGGTTTCGGGCACATCCCCAGTGGGGAATGTGCAGCAGGCAGCCGATCGATGATTCTCTCTCATCGATATTTCTAATTCTCTATCCCTCTCCCTTCCTCTCTGTAAAAAGATCAATAAAATATTTTTTTTAAAAAAAGAAGAGGTGGTACATATATACAACAGAATATTAGTCAGCTATAAAAAGAACGAAATCTTGCTATCCGCAACAACACAGGCAGACCTAGCTGGGGTGCTGAGTGAAATAAGTCAGACAAAAGACAAACGCTGTATGGTTTCACTTATATGTGGAATCTAAAGAACACAGTAAATGAAAACGCAAAATAGAAACAGGCTCACGGTCATATCATCGAGGCAAAGAGCAAACTGATGGTTGCCAGATGGGGCGGGGGTGGGGTGCTGGGGGGCTGGGTGAGAAAGGGGATGGGAGTTAGGAGAACCAATTGCCAGCTATATAACCACCACAGGGCTGTGGAGCACAGCGGGGCAAACTCAGTCAATCATATTGCAATAACTACGCGCAGAGTCAGGTGGGCACTAGATTTATCATCTCATAAATTATATGTCTAACTATGCTGTACACCTGAAACCAACATAAAATAGTTAAGTTTTCTTTTTAAAAAAATATGTGTGCATTGACTTTGGAGAGGAAATCATGGATGTGAGAAACATCAGTCTGTTGCCTCCCCAACAAACTCCGGCCAGACGCCCGGGGTGTCTGGGGGAATCGAACCAGCGACCCTTCGGTGCACAGGATCACGCTCCAACCAACCGAGCCACACGAGTCAGGGCCCAATACGAAATATCGAATAGCAACTATAATGAAAAAGAAAGCTTGAGGAAGGGAGCGTCGAGTCCTGGACGCAGCAAAACCACAGCACTCCCACCTCCTCCCCATTCGCCTCCCTCCTCCAGCATTCCGGTTGGTAACAACGCACCGCTTGATACAAACTCACTTTAATGTAAAAAAAAAAAAACAAAACCAAATTCACGTACAGACATAAATACAATTTGGGGGTATAAATAAACAAGGAAAGGAAGATGTGCCTGTTGAACGAAATAAATTACGTCGTAAATATCACGTTGGCAACTCAGTGCTGGGAAAGCTCGGCGTCCTTGATGCTTTTACAGGCTCCTGGCGCGATGCGGGGCCTTCGGAATGGACGCGGGGTACCTAAGGTCTGCCGCCGGGGCGGACGGGCCAGGTTAACGGACGCAGCTTTTGGCGCCTGCTCTTTTTCAGGGCAAAATCCACAGCACTCAGGATGGAGGCAGAGTCCAACGTGATGGGAGAGCTGAGGGTGGTGGTGGTGGTGGTGGGACAGCTGAGGAAGAGGGAGGGTCCATCTCAAAGGCCCTCCTGTGAAACCCATTCCCTGATCAGATCAGATGAAACCTGTCCTGTGGCACAGAGGAGCCCAGGGGACGGTGCCTCAGAGCTGATGGCAGAATGGCCGGTCTTAGCGGGGGAGTGAGCGGCGTGGGGGGCCCGAACAAGTACTCTGGGTGTGTGCAAGAGAGGGCCAGGGGAAGTGGGTGGACAAAGTAGTCTGGCAGGTTCTCCATCCCAGAACCGGCCCGTGTGGGGCGTCCTCAAGTTCTCCCCTGCTGGAGGGGAGCCCGAAGCCTTCCGGGCCGCGCCTGCACCCAGTCAATTCTGTCCCACGGGACAGACCCATTCTCACGTGTGGTGGGACCCTTTCCGCTAATACTCAGAGCTGACCACTCTTCCCTAGCAGACCCTGCCGGAGGTGATGGTGCTAGAATCTACAGGAAACTTCGGTCTGGCTCCAGCACTCCCCCAAAGATAACGAGTTCCCGTCAGGGGAGGTATTCAAATAGAACTGGGGCGGCACATGGGAAGCAAGGACCAAATTCAGGGTAGGGAGCTGGGATAGCATCTGGGAGGGGCGGGGAGGGAGGGGCGGCGGTGAAGGGCTTATGCTTTTTTAGGATCATACAAGTCTACCTCTAGAATCGGGCACAGCCAAGGTCAAACGGTCTATGTACACACTCTACATGTGTCTTCCTAGCGCTACATATTACTTGCAGAAGCACGGCCGGCCGAGGCCACTCTGCAAGCACCCCAGGCCTCGGAGGGGGGCCGGCCTGGGAGGAGGCCGGAGGAGGCTCGGTTATTTCTGGAAGCTGGGGCTCTTCACCAGCCGCAGGCTGCTGGCAATCCCGAAAGGGTCCATGCTGTCGGTTTCCAGGGGCGAGGAAAAGGCGCCCCGCTCCCCGGGGCCCTCGCGGCGCTGGGGCTCCACGGGGCTGCTGGGCAGCATGGGCAGGAAGTGGGACATGGGCAGGAAGCCCCGGGGTTTGAACAGCTGCCTCTGCCGGGCGCTGCTCAGCGAGACGGGCAGCTGGTGCTTCTGGGACCGGTACACGTTGTAGCCGTCGGGGCGGATCTCCTCCTCAAAGGCACAGTCCTCGGGCGAGAACTGAGGCTGCGGAGAAAGCAGAGGTCCGTGAGGTCGGCGGGCACCCCGCCCCGCTCCCCATCGGTCCTGTGTGAGCGAGCGGTCCCAGGCCAGAAAGCAGGTTATGAAATACCGGGGCGCTCCGAGTACCTGTGTTTATAGAGCGATGTAGGCTCACTACATTTCGGGACACATTTGTAGCATTTTTATATCACTTCGTGTAATTTTATCCATTTTCAATTTTTCAGTTGCAGTGGGCATACCATATATTCGTTTCGGGCGCACAACGGTGATTTATAGTTTACGTAATTTATACGTAAGGCCAGCATTCATCTGGCTCCATAAGGTCAATGTTACTGACTAGATTCCCTGTGCCGTACCGTGACGTTTACGTTACGTGTATGTCAAATACATTAAGTGTATATGCTACGTATAGGTACTGTATATAGCTTTACATCGTTACTTTGTATACCTTCGTAATTTACAACCTGCAAACACACACACACACACACACACACACACACACACACACACTTAGATGGCATGGTTACTCAACATCTGTATATACTTTGCATCGACCCCTTACATTTTCCATGCAATGTCACTTTTTAAACTCAGTCATGTTCTGAGGCATGCTATCCCTCTGCAGTAAATACATGTAAGTACGGACATTAAAAACTCCCTCGCAGCCCACAGGCACGCCGGGAGACACTGCCTCGCTGTGATGCTTTAGGATCCGTCTTTTAATTAAGAATCACACACACGCTCTGACCTGGGACCCAGATTACAGACTAGTCCCCATTTAGACGCGAGGTCCGTAGGCCTTTTTGTCTGGTGCCCCTGGGAGAGCCACCAGCCCCCTCCAGTTCCATCCAGGCAGCCTGCCAGGATCCTCACGATAAAGACATCCCCCTCCCCCAGGCCTAGGGCAGCGGGGGGTGGGGTGGCCGGTGGCCGGAAATGTGCGGAGAGGGGGGAAGGGGAGGGAGGAGGGAGGAGGGGGGAGGGACACCAGGGTCAGGGCCCAGACCATTCATAGTTGATTGAGAGGTGTCAGCGGGCAAGTTCTGCCTCCAACAACTCCAACTCGTGTCATTACCCCCTTGGGGACCCAGAAGGGCTGGGCAGTAAACAACCCCAGGAGGCACCCAGTCTCATTTCTGCCCGAGCCTACAAAGGTCGTTGAACTGCAGGTGGGTGATCGCTGAGCTGATAAAGGCCCTGATAAGGCCCGCAGCGGCCCAGGCACGGGGATAAAGCCACCAGACGAGCGGCAGGAGCGGTAAATACAAATAGATAAATAAAACGAGGGGAGTGAAACCAAGCGAGGGGCTGCAGTAAGTTGACGCCGGGAGAAGTTAGCATCTCACTTTTCCAGACAAACGAAGAGCCTCCACGTAGTTTCTAGGAGAAAGTGGAATGTCTTTTTTTTTTTTTTTTTTTTTTTTAAATCTTCAATTTTTGCTCAACTATGCCCATGGGATCAAGAGGCAGACTGGATTTTTTAGGTGGGACCCCTCCCCCCGCAGTCCCCTTTTGGATTAGGAGAATGGTAGGTGACACCCACCAGCTCCAGCAGGCCCTCCTGCCACTTTCTGACCCCCCTCTCCCCCCTGTAACCCCACTCCCCAAGTTGTAACTCAGGGTTTGAGCGGCTCAGGGGTCGGCTTTCAGCAAGCACATCACCTCCTTTCTTTGCCTCAGGACGCGGCCATAAAACCAGGCACAGGGCTCGGGATACATGGGCTACACAAGCCTCGAAGCCACAGCCCTATTCCGGGGAACTGAAAAGGAGTGCTGCCCGGGAGGGGGCTGGGCGGGCAGGGGAGCCCTCCCCGAGGCGCAGGCCCCGCCCCTGAGCCTCCGGCGGAGCCCCCAGGCCCACACACAGACTCCTCAGGGCGCGGGGGAGGGGGCTCCCTTTGAACTCGCAGTCTTTGTTCGGGCACTTCCTGCCCCGGGACTCGTGGGCAGTGGGGCCATCCCACCCCTAAAGGTGAGCCGGACACCGGGATGGACCCGAGGGGGAGGACGCACGGAACATTCCTCGGGTGGGCCTGCAAAACGTTTTTCTTGTAGATAAAAAATTAATTAAAAAAAATATCCTCAATCCTAAATGTCACTTTCCCCTGAGTTGTCGGGAGAGTGACCTTTTGTAAAAGATCCGAATTTTCTTTTATTTTTAAAACTTTCTGCGGGAAGGGGAGGTGGTCCGATTCGAGGGCCACCCGAGAGCAGGCCCAGCCTGCAAAGGCCAGCGGCGGGTTTTCCTGTTGAATCACAGACAGCCAAGGGACGGGGCGGCCTCTGGCTCCACTGGACGTGCAAAGGGGGCTTTGACCCATTCTCCCGCCGCTGGACCGCTGGCTGGGACCCCAAACTTCCACCGAGAGGCGCCGGACGTTCACTGGATCCGGCCCTTGCAGCCAGACAGCCCCCCACCCCCTCGGCGCTGCGGGCCCGGGAGCGGGAGGAAGCCAGGAGCCTTGGCTCCGGCCCAGCGCCCCTCCCCTGCCCTGCTGGCCCGCTGGCCCCCGGCCAAGCGCCTCCGCCCCCGCCCGCGGGCGGCACCTACCAGCCCCAGCATCCTGCCGTCGGCCCCCATGCAGAGGTACAGGCCGCTGTGCACGCCCTTGATGGCCACTTTCCGCAAGGCGACGGCCCGGATTTCCATCAGACCTGGGGCGAGAGAAGCAGGAGCCGCAGCCGGGGCCGCGGGACCCACCATGGGTGCCTGTGGTGGGTGCCCGTGCCCTGCCTCCCTCTCCCTCATCTCCCCCTCCCCCACGCTATGGGGGGGCCCAGGGCTGGAGGGGAACGCCGAGATGCCAAGTCCTGGGATTCCCACGAGGGAAGGGTCTGTAGGAGTCAAAGGGGTGGTCAGGGGAGGGCAACCCACGGACGTGCCCCCTCCCCCAGTCCCCATGCTGTCGAAGGGACCCAGGGAGGGTACAGGATGAGGATGTGCCAAAACCTGGTGGTATCGGGAGTGGGGAGCCCGCGGGAGGAGGAGGTGAAGGATGTAAGGGATCCTGGGCAGCTAGGAGGGGGGCCCTGGGCAGGATGAGGGGGGCCCTGTGCAGGAGGGGGACTCCTGGCGGGAGGAGAAGGGCCCCGGGCAGGAGGAGGGGGCCCTGGGCAGGAGGGGGACCCCGGGCAGGAGGAAAGGGACCCCGGGTAGGAAGAGGGGACCCTGGGCAGGAGAGGGGGGCCGGGCAGGAGGAGGGGGACCCCGGGCAGGAGGAGAGGGACCCTGGGCAGGAGGGGGGGGCCGGGCAGGCGGAGGGGGACCCTGGCAGGAGGGGACCGGCGGGCACTCACTGTGCGCGCTCCGGCCCCGCGCGCAGTCCACGGCGCCGGTGGCGCGGACGCGCAGGAAGCAGCTGGCCGGGCCGTGCGGGCCGGAGGTGTACAGGTGGCGCAGGCGGACGGACTCGCCCCAGCCGTAGTGCACGTGCGGCCCGGCGTCCGAGAGGCCCAGGGGCCCCCCGGCCGAGGCCAGCCAGAGGCCGGCCAGCACCAGGGCGCGGGCCACGCCGCGTCGGCTCCACGCGCTCTGCATGGCACCTCCTTCGGGCTCCGGGGCGCGGTTCCTGGCGGGTGCGGGGTGCGGGAGGAGGCGGGAGTCCGCGGGGCGCTCCGGCTGGCTGTGCGCTCGGGGTGCGCTGCTCCGGGCCAGCCGCCTTATATAGCGCGTCTCACCCTCCCGGCGGGTGGGTGCCCCTGACACCCGAGCATTTCTTATCGGGATTGCATCAGGCCCCCGCCCCCCAACACACCCACTCACACCCCGCCTCCGGCCCCAGCCCCAGCCCCCTCCCGGGGCCTGCCCGGCGATCCCGCCCAGGTCGCCGGATGGATCCGGGGGCGGGGGAGGCCCCGATTCAGCGTTCGGAGGAGCTCCTCCCCGCGGCTCGGTGGCGGGGTGGGCGGCCGGGTCGCTGGACTGGGCGAGTTTGATTTTCTAAAAAAGCCATCGAGGGGGTGACGGGCCCCGCCCCCCGGCTGCGGCTCCCCAGAAAACGCTAGCTGGGGGCGGGGGCGGGAACGCCGGGACTAGAGGTTGTGGGGCACTGAGCTTTGCATCTCTCGCCCCCCCCTCCCCCCTGTTCGGAGGAGAAACGTTGCCTCGCTTCAGGGCCCTCTCCCCTTAGGGGCCCCATTCGCTCCCTCCCGCGACGGCGCCGACCCCCCCACCCCGGCGCGGGGGCTGGAAAGCCGCGCGCAGCAGCGTTTCCCCTGCGGCTCGGACCCGCTCACATCCCCCCAGCTCGCGTTCTCCAGATCCTCGCCCCTCCTCCACCCGGGCCCCCTTGACTTCATAACCATAAATTGTACCCCGACGGGGGGGCGGGGCCGGGCTCGAACCCCGCCCTCCTGAGAACAATAGGGCGCCGCGCGCGGGAGCCGCTAGGTGGCGCTTCCGCCCGGGTTTCGGCTCTGCGGGCCGCGCTCGCGGGCCGTGTTGCAGGGGCTTCTGGGGCTGGGGGGAGGGAGGGGTGGGCTGGCAAACTGAGTGAGAAGCTGACTTATGGCTCAGGCCCGGGAGCTGGCGGAAAGGGGGGGGGTCCCCTCGGTTTCTGTCGTTGGTGGGTGCAGTCTGGGGGCCCCTGAGCACAGCGCGGATGGAGAGCTCGGGGAGCCCCTGACCTGGGGCAGCGGAGCCACGCGCACGCCGCCGGGGTGGGGCGGGCCCCGGGTGGGGACAGGGGGGCCACCCCGTGACGTGGCTCCTGCAAACCGGAGGCCTTCCCTAAGGGTCCTCCCCGGGGGGCTTTGGCTCAACAGGGATCCTTTCTCCTTTTCCCTCCAGCCCTTCTCCACCGCAGCCCCCGGGGGTGGGGCCCTGGCTCGGCGCAAAGGCGAACGGCGGCGGCGGAGACTCCGGAAGGGAACCCGGCGCCCGACCCGATGAATTTCAATGAGCCAAGGCCACGTTCACACCTCAGCCAGCCTGTGACTGGCATTAATGACGGGGCACGCCCCACATGTCACCAGGAGCGTCTTTTACAAAAAAAAAAGAAAAAAAAAGACACCTCATCTCCCAGGCCTTCTGGAGCGAGGACCCCCACGCTGTGCGTCTGGTTCAGAAAGCCTCGGCGGCTTCTGTGCAATCCCATTACTTCCCCCCTGTGGCTCTAAATCGAAGGCGGCTCCCATTAGAGTTAATTGCCCTCCCCTGCCGCTCCCCTGTTTAAAGATCCTGGATGAATGCGGGGGCCTGGGGGGGATGTCAAGGTCTGCACGGGGACGTGTCCCCATCAGGCTGGGGGTAGTAGGGGGACAGGGACGCCAGCCTCTGGCTCCACCCCCATCTGCGGCCCCTCCCCCCCCACACACGCCCCATATGGTGGGGAAAGAGTGTCCCCCGCCCCCCAGGCCTCGATCTGGGAGCTCAGAAGGACGGCAGAGGAGGCAGCCTCCTATTCTGTGACAAGCACGTTATGGGTGTTTACAAGCTTAACCCTCCACAAGAACCCCCATGACATCTTGTCCCCCTTCTTCCTCCCCATGGGAGAGTGACCCCAGGATGCACCCCATGTTAAGCGGCGGACCCGTAATTTGAGCTCAGGCGGATGGGCTCAGGCCATGCGGCGTCTGAGGGAGGCCGTGTGGGCTCGTGTGGGCTCTGGGGTCAGACCCTGGGCCGCACAGATCCGCCCCTGGGCAGGTTATGGACCTGCTGGGCCTGTTGCCTCCTTCATGCCTGTTTTCAGCCTCGTACTGGGGTCCTATGGCAAAGTGGACATGAGGTGCCCAGAGTGTGGTTCGTGAAGAGTGATGATCAAAACCGGTTTGGCTCAGTGGATAGAGCGTCGGCCTGAGGACTGAAAGTCCCAGGTTTGATTCTGGTCAAGGGCACGTACCTTGGTTGCGGGCACATCCCCAGTAGGGAGTGTGCAGGAAGGCAGCTGATCGATGATTCTTTCTCATCGATGTTTCTCTCTTATTGATGTTTCTAACTCTCTATCCCTCTCTCTTCCTCTCTGTAAAAAATCAATAATATATATATATATATATATATATATATATATATATATATATATATATTTAAAGAATGATGGCTGTCCCCCAAAGCTCTGTCTGGAGAACCAGGCATTTCACAGTCACAGCAAGTGCTCAGAGTTTATGAAAATATATTTTATTGATTTTGTACAGAGAGGAAGGGAGAGAGATAGAGAGCTAGGAACATCGATGAGAGAGAGGCATCAATCAGCTGCCTCTTGCACACCCCCCACTGGGGATATGCCTGAAACCAAGGTACATCCCTTGACCAGAATCGAACCCAGGACCCTTCAGTCCCCAAGCTGACGCTCTATCCATTGAGCCAAACCGGTTTCAGCAAGTGCTCAGAGTTTAGAGGCTCAATCTGAGTTACGCATGAGGAAACGGAGGCTGAGGCACCAGCAAGGGTTTGCACCTCTGTGGGCTTCCAGGGGGAGTCTGGGCCGGCTTGTGGGTGCCCCTGGACCGTGTGGTTGAAGTCAAGAAGGGCAGAGACAAGGCATCACTAGCCAGCAGGGGGCGCTGCGGCTAAGGCTGTCCAGGTGAGAGCTGCCAAGTTGAAGGTGAGGGCCAGTTCCCCAAACTTCCTAAGCACACGGCCCCCTGCGGCCCCCAGGGTGCTGGGTTGGGCTGGTTCTTCTTTTTTCAGACTGCCCTTGATGTGGTCCTGGTGCTGAGCCAGCTGACTCACCTGGTGAAATTTCCCTCGCCGAGTGGAGTGGGCAATGCCAGCCAGCTCCCGTCCCAGTCATCCCAGCTGCCCCTTCAGACCAGGCCCGGTCCCACACAGGCGCAGGTGGCCAGAAGGGCTGGGCTTGTGGCTTTGTTCTGGTTTTGGTGTGAGCTGGGCTCTTCCTAATGGCCCCGAACCCTTTCCTTGGGGTCGTCCTCCTTCAGCCAGCCTGGTCAGGGTTGCTCCTGGGGACGGTGGTGAATGAGCCTGTCATTGTTTCTGACCCTCGCCCAGCTTCCCTTCCAGTCCTGGCATTAGGAAGAGAATCGCCTTTCTTTTCACTCTATGGTTGGGAATTTACATGACAGAGTCCAATGCGCCTTCTTAAGCACTTCCCCACACCCCGCCCCAGCCTCCCCCCCCCCCCCGGCCCCACCCATGGCTGAGAGGCACTTTGTAACTGCAGAAGCTCCCGGTGTTGGTGAAAACCTTCGTCAGAACAAGGAGAGCTGTCCTGGCGAACTGGGGGCTGCTGTGAAGTCTGGGGAGGGGACAAGCCGCCCACCGGCCCGGACAGCGGTGGGGCCGTGGCAGTGGGAAAGGACAGTTCCTCTGAGCCTCCGTTTCCTTATTCGTGAAAGAGCAAAAAAGGTACCTAATTCTCAGGGTTAACGTGAGAATTAGAAAAGGTTACCAATGGAAAGGTCAACATTTGTCTTAAACAGGTCACATCTTTCTTTCTTTTTTCTTTCTTTTTTTTTGAAAATATATTTTATTAATTTTTTTACAGAGAGGAAGAGAGAGGGATAGAGAGTTAGAAACATTGATGAAAGAGAATCATCAATCAGCTGCCTCCTGCATGCCCCTTTCTGGGGATGTGCCCACAACCAAGGTACATGCCCCTGACCGGAATCGAACCTAGGACCCTTGAGTCTGCAGGCCGACGCTCTATCCACTGAGCTAAACCGGTCTTGGCTCTTTTTTCTTTCTTTCTTTTCTTTTTTTAAATCAGTTTTGAGAGAGAGAGGAAGGGACAGAGAGAGAGAGAGAGAGAAACATGGATGAGGAGAGGAAACATGGACCAGCTGCCTCCTGCAATGCCCCCTACCAGGGATCAAGCCACCTTGACCAACCAGCAACCTTTCAGTGCACAGGACGACGCTCAAGCCACTGAGCCACACGGGCCAGGGTAAGAGATCAATGATACAGAGACCACCTGGCGTACCGAGATGTGCAGCAGAGGAGTAGCTATTCATTGAAAGGCCGTCTTCGCCACACTTCTTTTTAAAATTGTATTGATTTTTTACAGAGCGGAAGGGAAAGGGATAAAGAGTTAGAAACATCGGTGAGAGAGAATCATCGATCAGCTGCCTCCTGCACACCCACCAACCGGGATGTGCCCGCAACCAAGGTACATGCCCCTGACTGGAATTGAACCTGGGACCCTTCAGTCCGCAGGCAGACGCTCTATCCACTGAGCCACACTGGTGTCAGCATTTGCCACACTTCTTATTTTTATTTTTTTGCTGCAAAAAGCTTTATTGTTTCATTCGGTCCAATGCACGGGAGAGGGCTCCAGGGCGGTTAAAAGAATGGCTAGTAGTTTTGGGAAGAGGCTCAGGTAAAAGCCAGAGACACCAGGGGAACGCAGAGGGGCCTCTGGGCTCCAAAGGCTCCTTTCTAGTCGTGCTGGAGGGTGAGCCTTTCGAAGAGATACCCGCCCAGCCCAGCCCGGAGCCGGCAGCCTGCGGAGGTCAGTCAGGGGTCGCCCATCTTCTTGGTGAGTTTCCCTCCTCGTCCAGGAAGTGGTTCTCCAGGAAGTCGCAGAGACGAGGGTCTGTGGGTAGAACCCGGGGCCTGCAGCTCCCAAAGGGTTCAGGCTT